CCGGTTCGACAAAAGCAAAAAATAAGCAATCGGGGGGGGGGGTTGTGCACAAGCTAAAACAAACCCACAAATGCAAGTTTGAGATCTATTAATTTACCCACAGAATCGTACACAGTAATAATGCCCTCTGCATCCATAGCATACTTGGTACTTCCCTGCCTTCCACAAGTCATGTTCTAGTCAAGGCATGTTGGTCAACAGAAGGCACAGACTTTAAAACATAAAGGGAGACTACTCCAAAATCAGGAACCCCCCAAGATCAAATGCCCTGACACTACCTAAGAACCTTCGCCCCGTCTTTAGTTCCTGTGCCATTTTTGAGGGGCCAAGGTAATTTAACACCTTCTGTGCCAGAAGAGACCTTAGCCCCATGACTCTTAGCCCTAAGTCTGACACCCTTCTGTTCTGTTCTATAATTCTATGACTGAGTCTGTAAATTATACTTTGTGGATTCCGGATTCCCTTGTCCCTGTGTTCTGGGTATGTTCTGCCAATGAGAGACACTGATGGGAGACCGGAAGGTGGGATGAGAACTTAAGGGTCTCTATTCCTGTTTCTGGTTTCCTCCATCAACCCTCCAGTAACAGCAGAGAGCTGTGGCTCAGACATTTTTCAGCACTCTTGGCACCAGCCTCAGGGTACCATCTTTGGACTCCCCATGACAGCAGCAGAGTGGCTACTGCTCTATACTCCTAGATTCTTCTCTAATTCATTCTCTCAAATAGGGCCAGTGGCTCCTCCCTGCAGTTACCACGCTCTGGGTTATCTCCTTTATGCTCGTCCAGCCTTCTAACATCTATCTACCTATTTCCTAGTATCAAATCTCCTCTCTTTGAAATATCCATCTTGTTTGCTTTCCTGAGTAATTCTCTCTAAATATGTTTTCTCAAAGCAATCAAGAAGACAAAATAAAATAAATTTCAGTGATTTCTTAATTGTTGCCTCTTCACGATGAAATGACAACATACTTTAGGAAAATAAATATGGGGGCAAGGTTTCTGGGGCACAGTTATCTGATTCAGTTAGAGATAAATTTTGTTTCTGAAGAGTTTTTGTTTTTGAAGGAATGA